GGTGAAGAAACGCAGTAAAGAAACGTGCGGTGAAGAAACGTGCGGTGAAGAAACGTAGTGAAGAAACGCGTAGTGAAGAAACGCAGTGAAGAAACGCGTGGTGAAGAAACGCGCGGTGAACAAACACGCGGTGTAGAAACGCGCGGTGAAGAAACGCGCGGTGAAGAAACATGTAGTGAAGAAACGCGCGGTGAAGAAGAAACACGCGGTGAAGAAACGTGTAGTGAAGAAACGCAGTGAAGAAATGCGCGGTGAAGAAACGTGTAGTGAAGAAACGCAGTGAAGAAATGCGCGGTGAAGAAACGTGTAGTGAAGAAACGCAGTGAAGAAATGCGCGGTGAAGAAACACGCGGTGAAGAAACGTGTAGTGAAGAAACGCGCGGTGAAGAAACGTGTAGTGAAGAAACGCGCGGTGAAGAAACACGCGGTGAAGAAACGTGTAGTGAAGAAACGCAGTGAAGAAACGCGCGGTGAAGAAACGCAGTAAAGAAACGTGCGGTGAAGAAACGTGCGGTGAAGAAACGCAGTGAAGAAACGTAGTGAAGAAACGCGTAGTGAAGAAACGCAGTAAAGAAACGTGCGGTGAAGAAACGTGCGGTGAAGAAACGCAGTGAAGAAACGCGCAGTGAAGAAACGCGTAGTGAAGAAATGCGTAGTGAAGAAACGCAGTGAAGAAACGCAGTGAAGAAACGCAGTAAAGAAACGCAGTAGAGTGCAGTAAAGTAATTTACTACGTCTGTAATTATCATTTAATCACACATCTTATTCATGTCATGATTTTGTATCGTTACTTTTTTATTCCACCTGTTTATTCTCTTATTGTTTCTCATTGATCAGCTGAAGTCAGAATGTAAACAATGTAGACATGTTTCCTACTTGTAAGTGAAGCATGAATTGAGATGTGAGTCCGGGTGTCTTTTAGTGGACAGTGGTGCTCTTTCACAGGATTAAAGTCAAACATATTCACGTTGACATGTGGACGCACTCAACTGTGTGGATTAGGATTAGGAGGCCACACACACACACACACACACACACACATACACATACACACACACACACACAAACACACACACACACACACACACACAGAGTTCTGTGTTCAGATTGAATCAGGCCTCAGGCTGAACCACTGAATTAAATGTTGTCCTGCATTTCCCAGAATGCCTTTCGGCAGCGCTAGGAGAGCAGCATTCAGTTTGGATGTTCAGAATTAGCAACGTGACAAAAAGGATAGAAGATAAAGTTGTTTGAAGGACGAGCATCATGAAGGTGTTTTATGTTGATCAGAGTATAAAAGGCTGCATTTAAACAGGAATATTGGCTTTTTCAGAATAAGGGAAATACTGGAATATAAGTATCCTTAAAGACACTTTCTGACATTTTGGGACTTGAATAGTGTAGAAAAAGTCCCTGCAGGCTTCAGTCTGTCTGGTTTTTGACCCGTAAACCCGAGTCTCTCCTCAAAGACATTCATGGTATTGCACCTGTTTGAGTTGTTCTGTCATTTGCTGAGTCAAACCTGCAGGTTTTTACCTCAATTTAAATCTGGTAATTTAACGTGTTAGACCTAACCGGTGTCTAACGGGTGTCTGACGGGTGTCTGACGGGTGTCTGACCGGTGTCTGACGGGTGTCTAACGGGTGTCTAACCGGTGTCTAACCGGTGTCTAACGGGTGTCCAACCGGTGTCTAACCGGTGTCTAACGGGTGTCTAACGGGTGTCTAAATGGTGCTTGTGGTCTCCAGCTGGTCCGGGAGCAGCAGGAGAGTCGACCCCTGCTGAGTCCCTCCATCGATGACTTCCTGTCAGAGAGCCGGAGCGACGCCCCCTCCACTCGACCGCTCACATCCAACACAGCAGGTAGACTCCTGCTAATTACCCCCCCGTCTCACCTGTCCTCCTCAGGTCTGCTCAGCTCTGTGTTTACCCCCCCCCCCCTCCTCTCCTTTGCTCTTCTTCTATGAACCTATTCAGTCTTTGTCACCCTCTTTTATTCTTCCTCTGACCTCCTCTCTTCTTCTTCTTCTCTCTCTAACTTTGCGTCCTTGGCTGTCGTCCTTCCTCCTCTGTGACCATCTGTCACCTGCGACTCAGCAGGTACACCTCCCGTTAATGAACACCTGTGACCTCCGTCCTCCGCCTCACGTTCATTAAGAGTCTAGAACAGAATCTATTTGTTTCTGTTTTCATACAAACTGACGACAGCTGAAATGTTTTCTGTTCAAACTGAGCGTGTTTCAGAGTGTGATGGTGACATGTAGAGGTTAATACAGAATATACAGGAGATCAAAGACACACTCTGACTGTTTACAAACACAAGTATGAAAGATTCATATATATTAAGATAAAAGGAGTGATGGAGACATAAATATGTGGACAGTTGGACTGAAGTTGGAAGTTTGACCCGTTAACCCTCCATCCTGTCGTCCTGTAGTTCTGTCCACAGCTCTGGACCTCGTGGACCTCAGTGAGCCGGCAGACAGCACCGGGGGCAGTAATGGTGGTGTTAGTGGTGTTAGTGGTAGCAGCAGTAACAAGGACCAGAGGAGGAGTCCTCTGAGGAGGAAGGGCAGCTCCAGGAGCCCTCGGCGCCGGACAAGACCGGATGAGACGGAGCTGATCCAGGTGGAGGTGGAACACCTGCCCGCCAGCCCCAGAACACCTGAGAGGGTCTCCCTGGACTCAGGTACTGCAGACTAAACCAGCACACAAGTTGTGATGGATATGGGCTGCTTCTTCTCTCATTGGTTCATAAACATTCATGTGATCCGGAGACAAATGTTTCCATTTACAGCTGCAATGATTTATTGATTAGTTGTTAACAATTTTAATATTCCGTTAAACGGTTTGAGTCATTTTTTAAGAAAATAAAAGCCCAAATTATCTGATTGAAACTTAAATGTCTAAATGATCTGGTTTCTTTCTTCTTCTTTGGGTTGTGAAGAAAACGAGACTTCAGACGACGACTGATCGTCATTTTCTCACATTCTATCATCTAAACAACCAAATTGGATCCGGTCTAGGATCCAGTGAAGGATCTGGTCTAGGATCCAGTGGGGGATCCAGTGAAGGATCTGGTCTAGGATCTAGTGAAGGATCTGGTCTAGGATCCAGTGAAGGATCTGGTCTAGGATCTGGTCTAGGATCCAGTGTTGGACAATCAAAAATAATAATCGAAAATAATCTTTAGCTGCAGCCTCCAGTTTTTTTGTGTTTTCTTAAAAAACAAACTTCAGTTTCAACTACGGTGACATCATCATCATGTTACCTTCATCACAGTGATGTCGTCATCACAATGATGTTCTCCCGTGTGTTCTCAGTCAGTCTGTCGTCTCCTCTGGACAAATGGGACGAGGTGAACCTGGACGTGGAGGACGGAGGACTCAGGAGGAGACACGAGAAGAGATGCACCTCCCAGCACTCCTCCAGTGAACTGCTGTGGTAAATCAAGTGTTATTCATGTTATTCATAAGTCCATACACTTTTTATCATGTTCCTGTTGTTCCTTTACTGTTTAACAATATTATCATGTGTCATCATAACCTGTTTAACATGTAACTCATGAACCGACCTGCTTTTTACTTTAATTGAACTACTTTTACTTGAGAACAATACAGTATTGTCAGAATGTAGTGAGCCTGAAGGGGGCGCTATGCAGCTCTCACCTCAGCTGATACCTGGTCTCTTCTGGTCCCTTCTGGTCTCTTCTGGTCTCTTCTGGTCCCTTTAGGTCTGCAGAGTTTAAAACGGATCCTCGAACAAAGAACTACTTTGACATCCACAGCTTCGATGACCTGGACTTCACGTCTTCACCACAGGTCAGCTGCTGGTATTTATACTGTAGTACTTCATCCTGACAGTATTTATACTGTAGTACTTCATCCTGACCAGAGTACTTCATCCTGCCAGTATTTATACTGTAGTACTTCATCCTGACCAGAGTACATCATCCTGCCAGTATTTATACTGTAGTACTTCATCCTGACCAGAGTACTTCATCCTGACAGTATTTATCCTGTAGTACTTCATCCTGACAGTATGTATACTGTAGTACTTCATCCTGACCAGAGTACTTCATCCTGCCAGTA